AGAAAGCCCTTGCACTAAATGAGGAGATAAACCAAGCAACCTTTGACTGAATTTCCAGAGGTTGTATGTCCAGAGGTTGTATGTCCAGGAGTCCATGGAGCTCCTGGAAGCTCTGATCATAATGTCGACGATATCTTGCAGCTCTTAATGCAACAATTTGCACTGCATCTATGTGTTTCTATTTTATATTTTCGTATTTTTCCATACTGCAGAAGATGGAACTTATCTTCATTAAACATTATGATATTTCCTGTGGCCCATTGAAGAATGTGAAGAACATCAATCAGAGAACACTGTACAACATCAGAGGTCCACGGGTGTTCAACACCGTCCCACGGAGGAGGATAAGAAATATTGTCGGAACAACCGTGGACATCTTCAAGAGGAAACTAGATTGTTTCTCCAAGAGTGCCGGACCAACTGGGCTGTGGTGGGTATGTGGGCCTGCGGGCCGCTCCAAGCAACAGCCTGGTGGACCAAACTCCCACAAAGTCAAGCCAGGCCCTCGGGCCGGGCTCGGGAAGTAGAAGAACTCCCAGAACCCATCAACCAGGTATCAAACCAGGTTCAACCAGGTATCAACCAGGAGTGTGGCGTGGGTGTGAGGCGGACTCCACCCTGTAGCCTGTGTCACACCTGAAAACATTGCTCTTCGGTATCCCTGCAGGCCAGGAGTTGGACTTGGTTGGCAGAGGTATTGGAGACGCATGCCGTATAGGAACATTTTATAGGCCATGGGAGCTCGTCCCCCATTACCACCCCCTGGCTATGACAACCCCTTGGAACCTAGGCTAGCTAAGCAGCAAAGTAAAAGGGCGTGGAGAAACTATAGGAATAACAGGACACTTGAGAGCAGAGAAAGATACCAGAGTGCCAGGAATGAATATGTCAGGATGAGAAGAGGCAGAAAGACAATACGAAAATGACATCGCAAGCAAGGCAAAGACTCAGCCTAAATTGCTGCACAGCCACATCAGGAGAAAAACAACAGTAACGGAACTGGTAATGAAATTGAGGATAAGGGCAGATTCACTACAAACGACAAGGAAGTGTGCGACGAACTAAATAAGAAATTCCAGGGGGTCTTCACTTTAGAGCAAGGAGAAGTTCCAGAGATAAGAGAGGGAATAGTTAACCAGGAACCACTAGAAGAGTTTGAGATTACCAGCGGGGAAGTAAGGAAGCTTTTGCTAGAGTTGGATGTGACAAAGGCTATAGGCCCAGATGGAATCTTACCTTGGATACTAAAGGAAGGAGCAGAATCACTGTGCCTGGCACTCTCCATAGTGTATAACAAATCACTGGTAACAAGGGAACTGCCAAAAATTTGGAAGACGGCTAATGTAGTCCCAATATACAGGAAGGAGGATAGACAGGAGGCACTGAACTACAGGCCAGTGTTCCTAACCTGCATGCCATGCAAGCTGATGGAGAAGATTGTGCGAAAAAAGCTAGTGGAACATCTAGAGCGAAAGAACTTAGTAACACAGCATCAACATGGATTCAGGGACTTGTGGATTCATGGATTGTGCAGGATTGAGGGGCTGGTCCCAAACCTGCACACAGAAATAACACCACATGAGACCAGAAGACATGGCAGGATGTGCAGAATACCCCCGTTGAAAAGCAGAGGTGCAACAGGTACTCTGAGAGAGAACTCTATCAACATCAGAGGCCCGAGACTGTTCAACACGCTTCCACTACACATAAGGGGCATAACTGGCAAACCCCTCACAGTGTTCAAGAGAGAACTGGATAAGCACCTCCAAAGGATACCTGATCAACCAGGCCGTGACTCATACGTCAGGCTGCGAGCAGCCGCGTCTAACAGCCTGGTTGATCAGTCCAGCAACCAGGAGGCCTGGTCGACGACCGGGCCGCGGGGACACTAAGCCCCGGAAGCACCTCAAGGTAGCCTCAAGGTAGGTAGGGATGGCAAGTCCTGCCTCATAGGATTGATTGAATTCTACGACCAGGCAACAAAAATCAGGCAGGAAAGAGAGGGGTGGGCAGACTGCATATTTTTGGATTGTCAGAAAGCTTTTGACATAGTACCACAAAAAAGACTAGTGCAAAAGTTGGAGATGCAGGCTGGAGTGAAAGGGAAGGTACTCCATTTGATATGGGAGTACCTAAGCAACAGGAGACAGCGAGTCACTGTGAGGGGTGAGGTCTCATATTGGCGAGGCGTCACCAGTGGAGTCCCGCAGGGTTCAGTCCTTGGACCTATACTGTTTCTGATATATGTAAATGATCTCCCAGAGAGTATAGAATCGTTCCTCTCATTGTCTACTGATGATGCAAAAATTATGAAGAGGATTAAAACTGAGGAAGATAGTATCTTCCTCAGATAGATGTTCCTCAGATTCTCAGTATATGATAGTAAACATCAGAGGTCCACGGTTGTTCAACGTCCTCCCAGCGAGCATTAGAAATATTGCCGGAACAACCGTGGACATCTTCAAGAGGAAACTAGATTGTTTCCTCTAAGGAGTGCCGGACCAACCAGGCTGTGGTGGGTATGTTGGCCTGCGGACCGCTCCAAGCAACAGCCTGGTGGACCAAGCTCTCACAAGTCAAGCCTGGCCTCGGGCCGGGTTTGGGGAGTAGAACTACTCCCAGAATCCCATCAAGCTGGTATCACCCAGTATGAGGCTACAAGATGACCTAGACAGACTGAATGAATGGTCCAACAAATGGCTACTAAAGTTCAACCATTCATTACCTTACATTTACCCGAGTAAATGTAAGGTAATGAAACTAGGCGGAGGAATCAGAAGGCCAGACACAGGATACCGAATGGGAGATGAAGTACTTCATGAAACAGACAGAGAGAAAGATCTAGGAGTTGATATCACACCAAACCTGTCTCCTGAAGCCCACATAAAAAGAATAACGTCTGCGACATATGCGAGGCTGGCTAACATCAGAACAGTCTTCAGGAACCTGTGTAAGGAATCATTCAGAACCTTGTATCTCACATATGTAAGACCAATCCTGGAGTATGCGGCCCCAGCATGGAGACTGTAGCTTGTGAAGCACAAGATTTGAAGCTAGGAAAATTTCAGAGGTATGCCACTAGGCTAGTCCCAGAACTAAGAGACATGATTTACGAGGAAAGGCTGCGTGAAATGCACCTCACGACACTGGAAGACAGAAGAGTAAGGGGAGACATGATCACTACCTACAAAATTCTCAGGAATTGACAGGTACAGTCAGGGACAAGGACAGACCTCCACTAAATGACAGAAGACCCTGACAGGAGTTCGACAGAAACAACATGACAACCATGTTGTTTCAACCGTGTTGAAAAAGTCCAACATTAATATAATAGGGAGAGCAGCTTCAGTTGCTTGCAGGAGTGGCTCCAGACTCTTAATCATGGGCGATTTCAACGATGGAAAGATAGACTGGGAGAATGGGGACCCACACGGAGGTGCAGATATATGGACAGCTAAACTCTTGGAAGTGACAACAAAGAACTTTCTGGGCCAACATGTCAACGGACCTACAAGAATGAGAGACAATGACAAACCAGCTAGACTCGACCTGATATTAACCTTGAATGAATCGGAAATAAGGGAAGTCAAATTTGAAGCCCCCATAGGAATGAGTGTATTGACATTAGAGTATCTGGTAAAGGTAGGGATAACCTATCCAAGGATGGGATTGGAGGGGAAAATACTAAATTACCGAAGAGGAACATATGACGAGATGAGGAACTTCCTAATGGGAATACCATGGGAAACAGAACTCAAAAGAAAAGACTGTACAGGATTTGATGGATTATGTCACCCAGAAGTGCCAGGAAGCCGCAGACAGGTTTATCCCGGCCCTAAAAGAGAAAAATAGAAAGCAAAAGAAGAATCTTTGGTTTAACCAGGAATGTAAGGTAGCGAAGCAATTGAGTAAAAGAACATGAGGAAACTACTGAAATAACAGAACACCAGAGAGCAGGGAGAGATACCAGAGGGCCAGAAATGAGTACATCAGAGTGAGGAGAGAGGCAGAGACAGTATAAAAATGACATAACGAGTAAAGCCAAGACCCAACCAAAGCTGCTCCACAGCCACATCAGGAGGAAAGCAGCAGTGAAGGAACAAGTGATGACACTGAGAAAAGGGGAGAACAGATACACAGAGAATGACAAGGAGGTGTGTGAAGAACTCAACAAGAGATTCCAGGAGGTCTTTACAATAGAACAAGGAGAAGCCCCTGCACTAAATGAGGAGATAAACCAAGCAACCTTTGACTGAATTTGTCCAGAGGTTGTATGTGCAGAGGTTATATGTCCAGGAGTCCATGGAGCTCCTGGAAGCTCTGATCATAATGTCGACGATATCTTGCAGCTCTTAATGCAACAATTTGCACTGCATCTTATGTGTTTCTAGTTTTATATGTTCGTATTTTTCCATACTGCAGAAGATGGAACTTATCTTCATTAAACATTATGATATTTCCTGTGGCCCATTGAAGAATGTGAAGAACATCAATCAGAGAACACTGTACAACATCAGAGGTCCACGGTTGTTCAACACCGTCCCAGGGAGGATAAGAAATATTGTCGGAACAACCGTGGACATCTTCAAGAGAAAACTAGATTGTTTCCTCCAAGGAGTGCCGGACCAACTGGGCTGTGGTGGGTATGTGGGCCTGCGGGCCGCTCCAAGCAACAGCCTGGTGGACCAAACTCCCACAAGTCAAGCCAGGCCTCGGGCCGGGCTCGGGAAGTAGAAGAACTCCCAGAACCCCATCAACCAGGTATCAACCAGGTATCAACCAGGTATCAACCAGGAGTGTGGCGTGGGTGTGAGGCGGACTCCACCCTGTAGCCTGTGTCACACCTGAAAACATTGCTCTTCGGTATCCATATTTCACTTATCATCGTAATTGTGGGGTTTATATTTTAGCTCGAGTATTCTTATGTTTAGAGTCAAGTGTTCTTAGATTTTTGATGTCGTTTGTGCTGGAATTAATTATATTTTGTGTGTGTGTTTCAGATTACAACAGAGGCCATGGTGGTGACCAACCGGTGCAGCCCCTGCCCTGCCTCCCCTGCTGCTGCCTCTGTCTGGGTTAGTCTGGTTTATGTCTTGGGACTTGTACTCTCCCTGTCTCTCACGACCCCTGTCTCACACGATCCCCTGTCTCACACGACCCCCTGTCTCACACGACCCCTGTCTCACACGACCCCCTGTCTCACACGACCCCTGTCTCACACGTCCCCTGTCTCACACGACCCCTGTCTCACACGACCCCTGTCTCACACGACCCCTGTCTCACACGACCCCTGTCTCACACGACCCCTGTCTCACACGACCCCTGTCTCACACGACCCCTGTCTCACACGGCCCCCTGTCTCACACGACCCCCTGTCTCACACGGCCCCCTGTCTCACACGACCCCTGTCTCACACGACCCCGTCTCACACGACCCCCTGTCTCACACGACCCCCTGTCTCACACGTCCCCCGTCCCCCCCCCCCCCCGGCATACACACACGCTAGGGAAGAAAATGCAGAATAGAACCAGTGACGAGCAGGGGTGCCATAGGCACAGTCAGAGAACACTGAACATCAGAGGTCCTCGGCTCTTCAACACACTCCCAGCGAGCATTAGAAATGTTGCCCGTCCGTAGTAGATCATTAGTGTGTGACTTCATTTCGGCTACTTCCTGGGATTCTCTCACGTATACCTGTGTTTGTCACAGTCTTCCATTGTAGGTGCCGTAGGTGATGATGAAGTTCATCATTAGCTGATGATGATACGCTGCTAGGGGAAGATGAGAAACTTGACGATTGTCATGCCTTTCAAGATGATCTGGACAAAATAAGTGTAAGAAGCAACACTTGGCAGTTAGAATTCAGCGTCAATAAATGCCATGTTGTGTAATGTGGAATAGGAGAAAATAGGCCACACACAACCAACAAATTATGTGGAAAGGCATTAAAGAACTCGGATAAAGAAAGTGATCTAAAGGTGCTTACCTGGTTGATGGGGTTCTGGGAGTTGTTCTACTCCCCAAGCCCGGCCCGAGGCCAGGCTCGACTTGTGAGAGTTTGGTCCACCAGGCTGTTGCTTGGAGCGGCCCGCAGGCCCACATACCCACCACAGCCCGGTTGGTCCGGCACTCCTTGGAGAAAACTATCTAGTTTTCTCTTGAAGATGTCCAAGGTTATTCCGGCAATATTTCTGATGCTCGCTGGTAGGACGTTGAACAACCGCGGACTCTGATTGTGACTATGGCACCTCTGCTCTTCTGTACGTTGTTATTTTACTGTATAGATTTTGTACTTGTGCAGAATAAAATGCAGAATAGAAAATGAGAGGTGGTTCTGGGTAGCAGACAGTCACCGGAGGACCACATAAGGAACTTTGTGCGAGGAGCCAATGCTATACTTTCCAACTTCAGAAATCACCTTTAAATACATGGATAGTAAAATATTAAAGAAAACGTTCATGGCTTTTGAGAGACCAAAATTAGAATATGTAGTGGCTGTATGGTGCCTCATATCTCCAGAAACTCGTCAATAAACGGGAAAACGTGCAACGACGAAATTGTTTCTGGAGCTGAAAAAACATAAGCGATGAGGAGAGGCTAGAGGCTGTAAACATGCCCAAGTGAGAAGATACAAGAAAAAAAGGTGATATGATCACTACATACTAAATACAACAGGCACTGACAAAATTAACAAAGAAGAATTCTTGAAACCTGCCACTTTTAAGAACATGAGGTCATAGATTCAAACTAAGGAAACAAAGGTGCCCCAAAAAATGGAAAATTCTTCTTTTGCCAACTGTGGTAGACGGTTGGAACCGTTCAAATGTGAAGATAGTGGGCGCCAAAACCGTTAGTAGTTTCAAAGTGTCATATGACAAAGTGTAGTGGGAAAACAGAACACTATGAGCATATCTCTCATCCTGTTACTACTCTTAGTTAATTACACCTCTCTCACACACACACACCTATCTCATCTCTTTTTATTGATTTTTTTCAAACCCGTATTTATTGCAGGTTTTTCTTAAATATAAATTTATTACAGGTATTTTATTCACCAGTACTGAATGTCATTCATATTTTGTTTGTTGTGTATGTTGATGACGCATATTTTTATAGTCTTTAGCACTTACTTTAAGCTAAAGTCTTTAGTCTTTAGCTATTGGCATTATGTGATTTCCTCTAACCTCAAGTGACTGTCTCTGAATTACTCCTGTGTTGTAATCACTATCTGCAAATTCCTCCTGTGATCAAATCATTATCTGTGATATCCTCCTACGCTTCAATCACTATCTGTGTTTTTGGTCAGTGCTCTAGCCACTCTGTGACATCCTCCTGTTCTCTAATCACTCTCTGTGACATCCTTCTGTGCTCTAATTACTCTGTGACATCCTTCTGTGCTCTAATCACTCTGTGACATCCTTCTGTGCTCTAATCACTCTGTGACATCCTTCTGTGCTCTAATTACTCTGTGACATCCTCCTGTTCTCTAATCACTCTGTGACATCCTCCTGTGCTCTAATCACTCTCTGTGACATCCTTCTGTGCTCTAATCACTCTGTGACATCCTCCTGTGCTCTAATTACTCTGTGACATCCTTCTGTGCTCTAATTACTCTGTGACATCCTCCTGTGCTCTAATTACTCTGTGACATCCTTCTGTGCTCTAATTACTCTGTGACATCCTTCTGTGCTCTAATTACTCTGTGACATCCTTCTGTGCTCTAATTACTCTGTGACATCCTTCTGTGCTCTAATTACTCTCTGTGACATCCTCCTGTGCTCTAATCACTCTCTGCGACATCTTTTGGTGCTCTGATCATTCTCTGCAATTTCTTCTGGTGCTCCAATTGCTCTCTGTGATTTACACCAGTGTTTCACGTGTGATCTGTATAGATTTTTAATACTTTATTTTTCTCATGTGCACCATTGAGTAGGACTTCTAAATAATTGTTTCGTTTGAGGGTTAAAAGATATGATAATTTTTTTATTTTAATTTTAACATGTCATGTTCTGAAAAGTTCCTTTGATTACAGATGGTTTTCGTGACATTGGCAGACACAATGGAGCCGTAAGATTACAGAGATGTTGAGGATTGTGTCTTCTGCATGCGTCTCATGGGTGTGATTACGTACACAGCCCACATGAACCCTACCGGCAATGTCACCTACACACATAAAAAGTTCAAGCGGGCCCCAATTGAGGCCTGTGACACTGTGGAAAAGCAGCAGTTGCACCACGAAGAGAGTGGAAAGAAAGTCAAGTCAGAAGCTTCTACAAAACTTGCAAAATCCGAAAGGGTGACTGTGGAAGTGACTCCGTCTCCTCTCAATGGATTCCTTTCCTCTCCAACTTCAAATAATTTTTCTGGAAATACTGGTCAGTTGTCTTTGGAATCTGATGATGGTAAGAAGAGGAATACTGGGAACAGTGGTGGGAAGTACAAATGTGAATATTGTGGGCTGGGATGTGCCAAACCCTCGGTGCTGGATAAACACATCCGCACTCACACCAATGAGCGGCCTTATAGCTGCGACCAATGTAGTGTAGCCTTTAAAACCAAAAGTAACTACCTGAAACATACCAGATCTCGAGCTCATGCCCTTAGATGTGATGGTGGGATTCAAGAGGGCAGTGATGGAACAGTAGAATCCAGTGACAACCTTGAAGTAGAGGGAGATGAAGGTTCAAGATGTCCCAGCCGAGAAAGTGGCCAGCAGTGCCAACCAGCTGATTTGTCTGTGGCTGAAGTCTCCATCGCAGATCGTCAACCAGATTTTACAGGTACTTCAGCTGCCTCAAGAGTGCACCCAGAAGAGTTTGGGAAAGATCGGGGAAGTTTTATATACAAACCTAAATTCCGCGTTCGTGGTCAGTATTCCCTTCAGGAAGACAGTATACCTATGGGACACTCTCCTCCCATACAAAGACAACAGTCAACCCCACCTCAGGATGTCACCACATTTGACTGTAATACCATCATTCCTTCAACATATCAAATCCATGCTGCCTCCAACCTTAATCACCCCAATCCTCACTCAAGCCCTTCCAGTGTCTCCAAACAATGCCTTCCTCCACTTGATATTCGGGCTGCAAATAGGAAGGATGAAGGAGCAGTGTCTGGTCAGCGTAATTCAGTGGTAACCTCTCAGACTGTAAGTTCTTTATGGAAAGGGATGAAGTCTCCTAGTCCAGAATTAGTAGGGCAACATATCACTAAACTGATTGTTGAAAACCAAGCCATTGTAGAAACTCATAACCCATTATGGTCACGGCGTTACAAGCGCCAGTCTAGCCTTGGCTCCTCATCAAGTGAGAGTGATGGGTCTGGCAGTGGTAAAAGTCGGAGATATAGTATCACAGATTCAAACATCAAAAATTCTAAATCTTCTGCTTCTGGTCCCCTTCCTGTAGTTTCAGGGCCTGTACAATCACATCCCCGAGAACGAAGTCATTCCCTCACTGCTGAGGCTATAATGGTTGAATCACGGTCTTCGTACAGCCCCAGTCTTCCACCCACCCCACACCTGCATCTTGCTCAGCCTACAGTCAACCCAATCAGTGCTTCCAAACCTTCCATATCATCACAAGGACCTACTACCTCTTATTCTCAGTCTGCACCAACTTTCACTGCCTCTCATGTTACCATGGTGGACTTTGGCATAATAGATGCGTCACGCAAGAGGTGCATCTCTGAGGGCCCTAGCATTGTGCGAGACTTATCAAAAAGTCGAGCGATACCTGATGATCCACTTCACCGACAACATCCACAAAATCCTGAGGGCTCTGTTATAAAAAACCTTCTTTTAACTGCCCGTGATGGCATTGTAAATGCCATTGATCAAAACCTAGAACGACAAGACCGGCAAAGAATGTCCAACCAAGTTGTTCCTGTAGGTGACATTGGCTCTCACTTATGTTCACAATGCAGGATATCATTTCGAAATACTGATGAGTTGGACTATCATCTGCGTCATCATTGTGGCCAGAGGCCAGGAGCTGGAAGTGAAAGAGGTACCCCAGATTCTATTAAAAGTGGCGATGGGAGCCGATGGCCTGGAGAGCAAGATGTAGCTTTAGATCTACAAAAGAAACATGAATATATGGATCAACTTGACCGCGAACGGTCGTCATCAAGAGGATCATCGGTTGGGGAAGCCTCACACAGACGCGGTTCGGAGGAGGATTCTAAATATCACCGAGAATTGTCACCTAAGGTATATAGAAGTAAATCTACTACAGATGCAGCTCCGCCTCCTACAAAAAAAAGAAAAATGTCTGATATTGATAACACGATACAAGAGAGGTCCATGTTTCTTTCACCAATTTTTTCTTCTAAGGGACAAGGGGGAAGCAAGAATGAGTCTTGCATAAAAATAATGGAGGATATCAACAAACAAAAATTCAATAATTGCCAACTCTTTGGTGGTGAAGTTCAAATCTGTGATGGAAATGAATTTAAAACAATAAGGATAGATACTAGCCAACCTCCAAGCCCAGCCATAGATATCTGCATCCCACCTCAACAGTTGGGAGCCAATATATCTAAATCAGATGTGTCTGTCCCAACATCAGTGGTAGTTACAATTGCTAAATCTGGTCTCAACTCTGGCGGAACAATGGTTCAGGTTGAAAACCAAATAAGCACATCATCTACCAAAACTGTTCCAAGCTTAGTAAGCTCATCGCTGAACCGTGAGAAGTCGGTTCTTTCACAAAGCTTACCAAAGGCAGCTCATTCTCCTAATGTGTACAATACTGACAGTGGACAGTTTCCATTTTCATCGCCTTTTCTACAATATGCTCCACCTCTTCAAATTCCCAACTTGGCTATTCCTGGAATTCCAACTCCCGACTTGGGAGGATTATCTTTTTCTGCATACACTCCTCGTGTCTCAGGCCAAACATTTCTCCATGGACAGACATCCCTCATGCATGGGATTTTAGGAAATCACAAACAAAATACTGTTCGATCCCCTATAGTATCATCTAGGGTTTCTCCTGGAAATTTTTCAACAACTGTGAGCATGTCGGGAGTCTCGTCGGGTTCCTCTGGAATTATGCATGGAGGGGCAAGTGAGGCTTCTGTAGGAGACAATACTTCTGGACTACATGCTTTTTTAGCTAAGGACAAGGAAAAGGAGCATGTAAAGATGCAATCTAAGCTGCCATCTACTGGTTATCCTGCTCTTATTCCTGTTGGGGATGAGAAGGTGCCATATGTCCCAGGGATCCCAGGACCATATTCTCAGGGCAGTGTGCTGCAACCCCCACCTCACTCCATACAGAGAAGCCCGTTAATATCTCTCACTCCTCCTATCTCGGCTCCTGTGCCCTTGAGTGCTCCTGTCTCATCTGTTCCCTCTCTTCCAGCACTAATAAGCACAGCCAGAGAGAGGAATCTTACAGTTCCTAAGTCAAAAGAGATATCGAGAGAGCATGCAAAAAGTCCAGTCAGGGAGCAGAGTCAGTCATTAACGGGTGGAGTCAAAATCCCTCATCGGTTGTCTCCAAGAATGTCTTCAGTTATTGGTAAAGCTCCAGAACTTAGAGCAGTTAATCCAGAAATTAGAATTCATCCACCACAGGTAGAGCCGGTACCTCAAGAAAAGAAGACCTCCGATAGGTTTATGTTTCCTCATGAAGATTCAAATTATGAAAGTTGTTCAAAAGACGAATCTTCTGACTCGGAAGAATTCCTGCCACCCCTGAAACGTCCAAATTTTTTGCCTTTAAAGCCACAACCATTTATGCCAAAATCTTCTCTTGCTTTGATTGGGACAACTTTAGTTAGCCCTGACACTCCACGACCTAAAAAGAGTTGCGTTCAAATGTTGTTGAATGGATCAGCTTATACATATTTAGGGCACAAAGTGTCTACAAAGTCATATTTTTGTTGTATATACAGACAGCAGCCGATGTATGTACCACAGTCAACTGATCCGAAGCTGTCTATGTATTCTAACTGGCAAATAAGAAAGCCAGCTGAAGACAATCCTTTTAAGTTAACACCATATCAGGGAATGGGACTGTATGAGTCACGAAAGCATGATCATGCATATACCATTGCAAAGCCTAAAGAATTAAATTTAATTCAAACGCACTCATCTTATTGGACATTTAAGGAAGAAAAGGAGAAAAATAAAGGAAAGGAAGACAAATCAAAGGACAAAGATTCAAAGGATATCAAAATTGAAGAATTGAACTCGAATATATGCGACCAAAATGCTAGTGACGGAAGCAGTAGTGTGTCAGTAAAACGCGAGTCTGATGATGAGAGTGTTGGATCCCCGTGTAAAGTCACTGATGAAGCAGAGGGCTCTGACAGTGGTTCAGCTAAGCGTATTAAAATTTTTGAAGGTGGTTTCAAGAGCAGTGAAGACTATACGTATGTGAGAGGACGTGGTCGAGGGAGGTATGTGTGTGAAACCTGTGGAATTCGCTGCAAGAAACCATCAATGTTGAAGAAGCACATACGTACACACACAGACCTTCGCCCATATGCCTGTGGCCACTGCACTTTTAGGTAAGGATAATATAATGTTAAGCATTTGTAGCTGTTAAGAGAATAATTACAATGAACGTGATTTCCTCTTATTCCAACTCCCTCTCCCATTCTAGTTGTAATAACTTGATAAATGGTACAGAATGGACTGAAATGATGACCAAACCACAACTCAGATGATGGAGGAGCAACGATGTATCGGTCCGTCGTGGACCATTATCTGACTTGATAATGATCCAGGACGGACCGAAATGTCGTCGTCTCTTCGTCCTCTGATGTGTGGTATGGTCATCATTTCTTCAGCCACATTATTGTGCCTCATCGTCTGCATATGGATTGACATGTCATCCCTTTCCTTTCATTTCATATATGGTATGTGAGTTGGGTTATTTATTTCAGCCACATTATCATAACATTTCCCTGGAGTTATTAAACCAAATAAAAAGCTTAATTCATTATTATTGTACCATCATATAATGCTTGTATTGTTGTAAATTGATAATACAATGCTGTATTGGCAAGACCTACATTAAAATAGTAACAGGGACATCTGTTACACAACATTGAGCTGCAAATCAGTGTTCATTTGTTTAAGAGGTGAATATAATTACTGTACAGTACTCTACTGTACTTCCCTGAGTATAAGATGCGCCTCTGATAGTGGCACACCCTAATTTTAGAAGGATATTTTATGGAAAAAAATTAGTATATTTTATCATGCATTTATTGAAAGCAAAGGGGAATTATCAGGGGGGGGGGGGGGGGAAAGAGCACCAAGTCATTACGACTATATAGCCCATGGAAGGGGTCAGGAATAGGATTTGGGATGGGACGGGGGAAAAGGAATGGTGTCCAACCACTTGGACGGTCGGGGATTGAACGCCGACCTGCATGAAGCGAGACCGTCGCTCTACCGTCCAGTCCAAGTGGTTTGATATATTTATTGAGATTTTAAAGTTCAGCTTCACTATTATCATGTTCTATTGGATAAGCTACAATATCGAGCTTAAACTGAATGTTATAATAATGCGTCCTATCTGCTGGCAACTACAGTACATAGAGTAATAAGTAGTATAAACATATCTGAGTCCTACAGTGTATTGGGAAAGATATTCAGAATTGTAATACAGTAGGTCTCACTCAAGCTGAACTTGGTCCACATGAACATTGAATAGAACATGAAATGGTAAATATGGTTGCTTGTTACCAGATTATTCTAGTTCGGTGTCTGCCACCGAGGGAGGACACGAGATAGAGGCATCTGATGAATCCTTTCAATTGTTTGGGAAGCCACTGAGGAGGCATATCAGATAGAGGCGTGTAGTAGGGGTCCCTCAATTGTTTTGGAAGCCACTGAGGGGACATGCCAGATAGAAGGGTGTGCAGGTCATTTAGATTTGATAATGTTTACATGCCTTGCTGTTATTGTGACTTTCTCTTAAGTAATTAATTTACTGTAATTTTATGTAAAGTAACCCAATTATAAATACAGTACTGTACTGTATATAACCATTTATGAATAAAGTATTGTACTGTATTTTATTGATTTAAGTTGACATTCAAATATATGTTTACTTACAGCTTCAAGACCAAAGGAAATCTCACAAAACATCTACGATCAAAGGCTCACTATAAGCGGTGTGTGGAAATGGGCATTGTACCAGTCCCCACTGTGGTTGATGAAAGTCACGTCAATGAGGAAGCTCTTGCATTGCAGGTGACTATTAGGTTTCAGTTTATTGTCTCTGGAATATCCTGATGACTTACAAAAATGATAGAAGTTGTTTTTAACTGCAGACAAAGAAGAAGTCACAATAATGTTGTTGTAAGTTTGTAACCCAACCCCCACATAAGAAAGGAAAGTGGTGACATTTTAGATCATCTTGGACCCTTATCTACTTGATAATGTCTAGGATAGACCAAAATGTTGTCACTTTTCTTTCTTTTCATGTGTGTGACCTTGGTTGCTTGTTATTAATTGTCTTGAGATTAGAGTAGTACTTTACAACCTTCCATGGAGACGGGGGAAAGAATTGTTCTTGGGCACTGAAAACAATTATGGGATGAATTTTGTAGGGCCATGGTAATTACACCTCTTTTCTACATGTTGGTGGATATGAGTATAGATATGTGGGATATATTGCTTCCTTGCCTTGAGGTTACCTTGAGGTGGTTCTGAAGATCTAAGTGTCCCCGCTGCCCCTTTTGATGATCTGGTTAAACATACTGTTAGACACAACTGCGTGCAGTCTGACATATATACATTATGCATTACCCCTTCAGAGCAGGAGAGATTGTGGAAATAGAGGGAGTACAGAGAACCCATACGGCATACAAAGACACGATAAAGTACCTAAATTGTTGGGATCGTCTTAAAGCTCTCTAAATGTACTCATTAGAAATGTACTCAGAAATGTAAAATGTACTAACTAGACAAGAGAGAGAGAGAAAATAATATACACCTGGAAAATACTAGAGGGCCAGGTCCCAAATCTACACAGTAAAATAACAACATAATGGAGTGAACGATACGGAAGAAAATGCAGAATAGAACCAGTGAAGAGCAGGGGTGCCATAGGCACAATCAGAGAACACTGTATAACACTGTATATAGATTGCAGAACCAGGGGACTCTTACGGAGAGGGGAAAATACCACATGACCCTCGGTAACTATCCAATACGTCTAAGTATCCCCAAAGTATTCCTGTCTAAGCACCAGCCAAAAGTATGAGAAGGATATACTATGATTGACAACTGCAAGAAACTATAGGTTGACCTGTTCAAACTGAAAGAATAATTCAACAAGTGACTACTCGAGTTCAACTCAAAGTGCAGTATACTGAAGCTGGGTGCTGAGAATAGGAGGCTAGAAACTGTACAAGGAATCAAATAGAAAAGGAAACCCTCGTTGAGTTGGACAGAAAAAGAACTGGGGTTACCTGCTTGATACCTGTTTGATGGGGTACTGGGAGTTCTTCTACTCCAGGCCAGGCTTGACTTGTGAGAGCTTGGTCCAACGGACTGCTGCTTGGAGCAGCCTACAGGCCCACATATCCATCACAGTCTGGTTGGTCCGGCACTTTTTGAAGAAAATTATCTAGTTTTCTCTTGAAGATGTCCACAATTGTTCCGGCAATATTTCTTATACTGTACTCGCTGGGAGGACGTTGAACAACCGTGGACCTCTGATGTTTATATAGTGTTCTATGATTTTGCCTATGGCACCCCTGCTCTTTACTGGCTCTATTCTGCATTTTCTTCCATATCGTTCACTCCAGGGTTGATATCACGGTGAGCCTGTCTCGTAACTCACATCAGTCAGATATGATCAGCTCCATATATCACACAATTTCTGGAATAAATAGTGCCAATGTGAAGTTCATATGGGGTCCTTTGGTGCAGTCACAAGTGCAGTCAGGTCACAGCTGAAGGATCCCTGGTTCACTATGTACTCGCCTAGTTGTGCTTGCGGGGGTTGAGCTTTGGCTCTTTGGTCCCGCCTCTCAACTGTCAATCAACTGGTGTACAGATTCCTGAGCCTACTGGGCTTTATCATATCTACATTTGAAACTGTGTATGGAGTCAGCCTCCACCACATCACTTCCTAGTGCATTCCATTTATTAACTACTCTGACACGGAAAAAATTCTTTCTAACGTCTCTGTGGCTCATCTGTGTACTGAAGTTTCCACCTGTGTCCCCTTGTTCGTGTCCCTCTCGTGCTGAAGAGTTTGTATGTATGTATGTACAGTATATCAGTGGCTTTGCAAGAATGTAAAAAACATCAATGTCATGTCCTCCCACAAACCCAATGTACCTTCTTGTATACAAATAAATAAATAAATTCCTGCAGTTGGATGGTAGTGTTTGGGCAATACTCCTTTTCACCTGATGCCTCTGATCACCTAGCAGTAAATACGTACGCAGAAGTTAGGCAACTGTTGTGGGTTGCATCCTGGGGAAAACCATAAAGTGAGCCATATCTTTTTTTTTAACAAAAAAGGAGAAAATCCAGAAATATGCCACCATACAAGTCCCAGAGCCAAGAGCGGCTGGGAGCCGGCGGCTGAGCGGACAGTACACTGGACGCGTGATCCTGTGGTCCCGGATTCGATCCCGGGCGCTGGCGAGAAACAATGGGCAGAGTTTCTTTCACCCTGATGCACTGTTACCTAGCAGTAAATAGGTACCTGGGAGTTAGTCAGCTGTCACGGGCTGCTTCCTGGGGGGTGGAGGCCTGGTCGAAGACCGGGTCATGGGGACACTAAGTCCCGAAATCATCTCCAGATAACCTCAAGAAGATAATAATAATTCATTGTGTCGGGGGACAGGAAGCCAGAGTGTATTCATTCACGGTTGACTTATATCGAGGTCCCAACCTCCCAACCTCTAAGGCCGAATTACTGACCCCGCCCAGGATGCAACCCACAACACGCTGACTAACTCCTGAAAACTGACTCAGTGCTAGATGAACTGAGGCATTAGGTGAAAGGAAATGTGCCCAGCCATTTCTGTCCTGCCCAGGATTCGAGCCTGGAATTCTTGATTGTGTGCTGTGAACGATGCACAGAGACGCATGATCTACGAGGAAAGGCTAAATGGAATTACAGTACTGCAAATCTCATGTTACTGGAGAAGAAACATGGGAGATATGATTGCAATATATAAAATTCTCAAGGGGGATAGACCAAGTAGATAAGAACACTATTTACCATAGATTAAATACAAACTGTGGGATGCAGGTGGAAACTAAATACAATACTGAATGATCCACATAATTGTGAGTAAATGGAATATGCCATGACATGAAATACTGTGGCTGGTGGAGGCAAACTCCATACAGTTTCAGATGTAGATAGAGAGGAGCCCCAAAGGCTAGAGATCCTGTACACCAGTCAGTGAAAGATTTCACCCCTGAGCTGATGTTCATCACCCCTCCTCTCAACCCACTCTCCATTCACCCACCACAGTGTCTGTTCTCAACTCACAATTGGGCATCCTGGATTTGATCCCCGGGCAGCACAGAAATTGTTAGGGACATTTCATTTTACCTGATGCTTCTGCATAGCAGTACATATGTATCGGGGGTTAGACACCTGTTGTGGGGTTACATCCTTGGAAGGTCAGTAGTTAAGATTTTTGCTCGACCAGAGAATGTAAACAGGGAGATCAAAGAAATAGAGCAGACTCTGAAGTAATCCAACCCATCCTCCTGTTTAGATACTGTAATTCAAAATATTTCATTGTGTCAGGGGACAGGCAGCCAGAGTGTATTTATACACGTTAGGCTTATGTTGAGGTCTCCCCCTTCCCCAGGTTGAAGTACCTACTTACTGCTAGGTGAACAGAGTGAACAGAGTCACCTAGGAGTTTCCTAGGTGATAGGAAATGCGCCCAGCCATTTCTGTCTTGCCCAGGATTCGAACCCGGAACTCTTGATTGAGCATCAAGAACGAACCCGATTGTACTACAAGAACCTTAATATGGAACACATAAGATATGATAAAACACCTAAATTATTTGGACAGCCTCAAAGCTCTCAAAATATACTCTCTGGAAAGGAGATGAGAGAAATGTCAAATAATATACATATGGAAGATACTGAAAGGCCAGTCCCCAAATTTGCACAGTTGAATAACAACATATTGGAGCAAAGGATATAGGAGAAAATGCAGAATAGAGCCAGTGATGAGTAAAGGTGCCATAGGCACAACAAGAGAACACTGTCTGAACATCAGAAGTCCACAGCTGCTAAATGCTCTCCTAGCATGAATAAGAAATATTGCTGGAACAAAGGTGAATTTCTTCAAGAAGCAATTAGATAAGTTTGTAAGAAGTGCTGAACCAACCCGGCTGTAGTGGATATAGGGCCTGTGGGCCACTCCGAGCAACAGCATGTTGGGCCAAGGTCTCACAAGTCAAGCTTGGCTCTAGGCTAGGCTTGGGGAGTAGAAGTACTCTCGAAACCCTCTCCTGGTTTAACTCCAGATAAACTTGGTGATAGAGGGGGTGTCAATACAAACCTAAGCACAGTACAGGCTTCCTGTCCTGACAACAGGAATTATTCTCTCTGCACCTCTGGATGTCGACGTTCTATGTTCAGGGATGTAGGAAGGTGGAGGAGATGGATAGAGATATTTATTTATTTATTTTATTTATTTGTCAAAATATTTTTGCATCGCAAGATATGCCGGCATAGGCATAAGGCATGCCTCTCTCTCTCTCTCTCTTGACTGCAATTGAAACTTCCCTATTTCTTAAATTTCTTAGGCTATATCTGTGACTGTTTGTAAATAATAACTCTTAAGATGTGGTAGCCTACACCTGTACTATTTCCAAGATACATAGTGGCTCGCACAGATAAGTTAGTGAGTAGTTTGACCTTCAACATAAATATGTAAAGAGTAAAATTATATCAGTTATATAATATAGAATAATTTATATTTTAGGTAAAGATGGAACAAGAAGGAAGACTTGGTAACCTAGATGGTGATGATGATGAAGATGACGACGATGATGATGATGAAGGGGATGAAGATGATGATGATGATGAGGATGAATCTGTGGGAGATAATCCCTTTGAGAGTGCTCATTGTTTACAGAACTATCAAAGAGAGAGTAGTAGTCAAGAAATAGATGACAGAAAAGGTGATGCCAAAGAAGTCATAAAAGATTGCCATCATGAATCTTCCGTTGCTGTGTCAAGATCTGGTGTATTAGTCATGCAATCAACTAGTCGGAGCTCAACCGATGCTCTCACATTTGCTCATGGTACCAAGGACGGTAAGCTTCAGAAAACTACAACTAGCGTCGAGTCGCCAATTGATTTAAGTGTGAAGAGAACACCAGTAGTAAATTTTTCACCTGTTTTAGACAAAACCTCATCAGCAAAGAAATCCCCCATCCCCAGAAGGCCTAGTTTTTTACCACTGCTGAGCAAGCCAAGCGTAACAGACATGAGATCTCCAGCAAACAGTTTAGCATCTCCTGGCACCCCTTCTACACCTATTAGAGAGCACGCTTCCGAAATTTTATCACCCGTGACCGAGTCGTCATCCCTTCTTAAATCTATTTACAATACAACAGAGAGAGCTTCACACGTTTCTTTTGAGAAAAAAAATATTGTCCCAGATCCAACCAAGGAGAATGGCTGTAGTAGTTCCATGCTACAAGCATACTTGAAAGAGTGTGCAGTGTTGGATACTACTATCAAGAGGCAGCAGTATAAGGACTCCTCCACTGACACTTCACCAGATTCACCACATGGTAGTTTGACAACTCTTTCTGTCTCTAATGGGTCAAGTACAATAGCAGAAAATGCTGAAACAACACACAAGCAAGAAAGTACAAAGAACTGTAAAAAATCAGATAAAGATAGTCAAAAAGAAGGAAAAGAGGAAGATTCATGTGGTGGAGCGAGCGATGAGAAGAGCTCTCGGTGTACAGCGTCTCCCTCCAGCATTGGCAGTGTTACCAGTACTGCACTCCAGTCTACCACCTCACGGATGCCGACGCCACCTGCTAATCTCACCGTCATGAATAGTGGTGGCATTGATACCAAGACTGCCTTCCTTGTGCCCAGTGGAATTGTTCCCTCATCTCTTAACAGGTAAAGCTTACCATATTTCACGGAATATAAAATGTACCTAATTTACAAAGATATTCCATGAAATTTTGTTTAATATGTTTCATCATAAATTTATTAAAAATTATTTTCAAATAGTCTTGTAGGAAGGCATGTGATTTTGTGCATGGAAATACACTATATATTGGGGTTGGTGGTAACGGGTCAAAAATATCCATTCTATCTGCCAATAAATCAGCAGATGATAGTTTAATTAATTTTCTGTGGGGAAGCCCTATTGGCTTACTGGAGCTATTGGACTGATATTAGCTAATATTAGTACTGGGCTTCAGTCTTATGGAGTTGCCATGCCTACCGGGGACCACTAACCAGAACATGGTCCCCTCAGAGAGGCGAAGGGAGCAATGGCCTATGAAACTCACATGTATAAAAGTATTCATGTCTGCCATCGACCAGGGTTGAGCACCCAGAAAGGTAGGTACTGTATTTCAAAACAGACCTCTCCAGGTAGAAATATTGCAACCTAAGACCAAACAGAAGCTAAAAACTCCCACCCCTCAAAGAAAAACGAGCTAACAAGCAATACGTCATCACACCGTGCATCGCTCGATCGCATCAATGCCCCCCTCTCTCTCTCCGGTAGGGGGAGAGGGTCCTGGCCCACCGAGCCAGTAGCTTGACCTTCAACTTGTCGGCTGAAGCTATACTGTGTGGACGCCTGCTCTGGCCTCGGATACGTGATTGGCGTCACTCTGCTGGTGTTTCTTCTGCGTGCTGGCAGTGGCCAGGAGTTTGTACCAAGGGCTGCATGTGCTTAGGGCCCCATTCCCTAGGCACCATGTGAGTACACTCTTTGAGGTTCAGAGTTCACTTCCCTTTGTCCTTTGGGTTCCCATTCCCGTAGGTATTGTGACTGCTTAGTTGCTTTCTTGTCCTTGGGGTCAGCTTAGGTCCCAGTACGTTTGTTTGGCCCTGGGTAGGGAGTGGTTGTTTGCTGGTTGGGGCACACTGGGCTGCCCAGCTTGAATAATCACAGCGGCCATGGCTCTTCTGGTCCACTGGGTTGTGGTGCTTCCTCGGAGTTCTCTTTCATTCTTTAGTTTGCTTTGTTGCCCATTGGGAGGCCGCCACAATCCATATTAGGTGATAGGTTCAGTAGGGCCTCTGGGCCTCTGGGGTGACTCACTTCATAGGGGTCCATTTGCCCAGATATATACGGGGATACAACCGATTTTGGCAGTCCAGCACCTAAGCTTCCCATAGTGAAACAACTCCCTTCGGGTCCTAGAAAACCCTGTTGGGGCTTAGTTGACCATGATGGATGAGTTTTATGAGTCCCATCTCGCCCTGTGCGAGTTCTTGGGTTGCTCGTTGCCTCTGTCTCAGAGTGATGATCACCTGTACTGTCTCCGTCATGCTGCTTGTTAAGTCAATGACGCCTTCGACCCGGAGTCTCGTGAGACTTGTTCTCTGTTCTCTACTTGTACTCCTATTTACCCATACTGCTTACTGCTACAGCTGAGGTTAGGGGTTAATTGGCTCGCACGTTGCATGCTAGGTTTAGGTTGCTGAAACGCGCATGGTTAGTTGCCCACTCGAATGCCCCAGGGATGCCTCGTTTTGGTTATAGGGACCCGGACTTGGGGGCGTTGATTGCTTCAACCTTGGTTCTGTCCGCCCCTCTTTGTCCTCCCCTTGTTGGTGTGGTTCACAGTTCTCTTCCCCTCCTGCATCAGACTCCCAAACGTCTGAGGGTTTCGAGGTCGGGGCAGGGTTTAGCTGGGGATGAGGCTCGGGCGGCTCTGGGGGTTGCCTCATTCGAGGCGGGGATGGAGTCAGTTGAGCCGGGTTTCTCCCGCCGGGTTCCTCCCACCGAGGCTCCTGGGTTTTTCCAGCAGGTCCCTTTCTTGAATGCTTTTCCCTTGGACTCTGCCTTTTTTTCAAAGGTGGAGGGCAGTGAGGATGGCTCTGCCCCAGATCCTAATTGGGTGGATTTCGGGGCTAGGGGAAAGGTGGCCTGGGGTGCTTGGGCCCCTTTCAACCCTGCCTGGGTTTTGGTACCTTCGGGGCGGGGTCTGCTGTTACAAGGTTCGGGGTTTTCTTACCCCCCTTCCTTGTACAAATTTGATATGGGGGTCGGCTCCCCCCCTCCTTCTCCGTACTGCCTCTGCCATTGTTCTCTACTCGTACTCCAATTTACCCATACTGGTACAGCTGAGGTTAGGGGGTCAAGCAGCTCGCGCGTTGACCCGTACATTTTGTTTCGTAACGAAATTACATTTGTTTAGGGTACGATTCAGGGTTCAGGGTTCCCTTGGGTTTTCGACTTCTCGAATTTCCCCAGCGGAGGTTCAGGAGGCCCTAGGTGCGTACCTCCTCCTCGACCCGGCTTCCCCCTCGGTGCTCGACCTGGTCTCTCTTGCGTTCAGGTTTTCTTTGCTGTATTGGATACATTACAAGGTGCTGGCATCTTCCTGGCTTGAAGACTGCCTTTTCTTTTCGTTGGGGACGTAGCATACGTTCTAACTTTCCTGCACGCTTGAGTGACGGGAGCTCACTAGGGTGTTGCAAGAGTACTTAGGGGGCACACATGAGCATCTTAATGCGTACTTGTACATCCCTGGGCTTTTTCGTGAGGTTGGTGTGCTCCAGTTGCACATCCAGGTTCCATCCCTTTTGGCTGCTATGGCTGTAGAAGATCTTCGTGCACGCGGGCATTTGGCTTCAGTCCTTCGCTTCTTTTCCCTTCTCGAGCTGTCCTCGGATTGGCTTGTGGAGGATGTGGAGTTGGCTGCCGGGTTGTTGTCTGCCAGGTTGTTGTCTGCCACGTTGACTTTGGCAGCCAGGGGGATCAGCAGCGTTGCTTAAGCTATTTGCGCCTATCCTCCAGGAGGAAGTGTCCTTGTTTTGTACCTCTCGCCTCTCGTGTCGGCAGGCTGTCCTCCCCCTCTCTGTGGATTCTGTTTGGGCCCTGGCTCTTAGGTTCTCGTCTCCCTTCTGTCCTTTGCTTTTTTTTGGAATCGGTTGTCTCAGTTTCTTCAGTTGGCTTCTGCTAGTTGCCACCCTCTTTCGGATATACTGTATTGATTGTCCGGAATGCGTGTTTGCTTGCTTCCCGGAAGGGTCGTGCCAGGGTTCCAGCATCTGCTGGTCGAGGTAGGCCTTTGGTGCCAGTTTCTGAGCTGGTGTTTGCTCCGGAGCCGTCTTCGTCTAGTCGGCACAGTGTTTGCTCTGCACGCAAGTCGAGTTCTCGGAAGGGTCGCTGGCCCTTTAGTGGGTCGTGCTGTTGACAGGGTGTTGCGTTGACTGGCTCTGTTTACCCACGCTTGGTCCCATGATTTATTTGCATTTCAGGTGGTGTCTTCAGTTCTGTGGTGGCGTTGGGTTGCTCACTCCCCTCTGAGGGATTCGGGGCTGGCGGAGCAAATTTCTTCCCCTTCACTTCATCGGGTCATCCTGGAGTGGGTTCGCTTGGGTGTGGTTGAAATGACCTTGTCCCTCAGGTAGGTTTCCCGTCTGTTTCCAGTGCCGAAACGTTCCAGTGCTGTGTGGATCTGAAGTTCATTCTGACGGTTTTGGCCTCGACCACCTTCTCACTTAGCTTGCTTCAACCACTCTGGAAATCTGCTTCTACCACTCTGTTTGCAACAGGAAACTTTCTAATATTTTTTTACACCTTTGTTTCCTTAGTTTGAATCTGTGTCCTCTTGTTTGTGAAGTTGCTGGTTTCAGAAATTCCTCTTTGTCAATTTGGTCGATTACTGTTAGTATTATGTAAGTGGTGATCATATCGCCACTTTTTCTTCTATTTTGTAGTTTTGGCACGTTTAACGTCTCTAGTCTCTCCTCGTAACTCTTGTTTTTCAGTTCCGGAAGCCATTTTGTAGCATGCCTTTGCACCTTTTCCAATTTCTTTATGTTCTTCTTGAGATTTGGGCACCAAACAACTGCTGCTTATTCTAATTTGGTCTCACAAAAGTCATAAACAGTTTCTTTAGTATTTTCACCAATTTCAGGCAGATCCCAGGCTGATTAATTTTTAATACAGTATATCGTGGTCCATGGGTCTGGGGGTTACCCAGGAAGCTGGTTTGATCCTCCGTCCTGCTTCAAAGATTTTCTCATGGTATAGAAAATTATTGCATGTAGATGCAAGCAGTGTAGCACCGTAACAATGAATGCTGAAGCCTGAGCAAACTGACAAATGATAGTTACCTTACATCGAGATTATCTTGAGTTGGTTCCAACGATCAGTGTTCCTGGTTGGGATCTGGCCAACCAGATCTATCGGGACCTGACAGCTGAGTGGACAGTGCCTTGGATTCGTAGTTATGAGATTCTGGGATCGATTCCCGGTGGAGACAGAAACAAATGGGCAGAGTTTCTTTCACCCTGATGCACTTGTTCACCTAACAGTAAATAGGTACCTGGGAGTTAGACAGCTGCTATGGGCTGCTTCCTGGGGGGTGTGTAACAAAAAATAAGGCCTGGTTGAGGACCGGGCCGCGGGAACGCTAAGCCCCGAAATCATCTCGAGATAACCTCAAGAAGATAACCAAGTTGTTAGATGCTGCTGCATGCAGTCTGGTGTATGAATCGATTGATGAATTACCATGCAAGGTGTTGAAGGTATACAACAAAAATGTCTGGTATAAGTGAGAAAGGTAACAGTAGATTGTGTAGTTTATTTACTTTCCCTGCAAAAGTATGCATATTAATTATTGACATTCCTTGGTGATCTAACAGACTAGGGAATGATGATGGAAAATGTAAATGCAGCATTTGCCACAAGGAATTCAATCGGCAGGCGCAGCTCAGCATACACATGAACATCCACTACATGGAGAGGCCTTACCGGTGCGAGTCCTGTGCCGTCTCATTCAGAACCAACGGGCATCTCCAAAAGCATAAACGATCTGTCAGTCATTTTAACAAGGTAAGAGAGGCCATGAAGGTTTGCACAAAGGATAAAGTACATTATTTTTCCTGATATTTTAAAGAATTTAGATTAGGTTAGGTATGGTTTACTTATTAAGGGATACAGTAGTGAAAAACAACATGGAGATGTGAAGGCTGCACTTTGCTCAAATTGGTAAGGCAGTATTCCCCTTTGCTGCCTTACCAATTTGTAATTGAGTTGGCCAATTTTGTTCTTATTATTTGTATTTATTTTAGGAAGTCCATCATTTTCTTCATTCTAAATTGGTGAAATGTGCTTGGCCAGAAGGAAGCCAGAGGCAACGGTAGTGGAGGTTTGGTGCGATTCTGACTTGCAACTTTTTTGAGTGACTTTGTATTGTAAGTGTTCTTGGGGACTTTAGAGCACATTACCTTTTAAAGTTTAAATATGTATTTGGTTTCAATCTTCCAGTGTGGAGGACAGGAAGCCTATGATTATGTAGAGAAATAGAAAAACATAGAGCCAAAACTACAGCAGTCATGTATAAAGTCAAAGAAAGCATAAGGCCATTGATGCCTTTTAATTCCCTTTAAGAGGGGAATTTAATTCCTTTAAAGAGAGGAATCCCAAATTTTTTTCTCCTATGCAATATCTAGAACAAAACTACATCTAGTATTGGGCTCTTGTGCAAGAGAGAGAGGGAACTTTCACAGATGGCAGCAAAGAAATTAGTGAATTATTAAGGATACAGTACAATTCTTTTCTATGTGAACTCCTGAATGCACTAAAGATTGATAATCCAAATGAATTCTTCATGAATATGATAATGTACCAACATCAGACCATATATCAGATGTCACCTAAACCCCACTAAATTTTGATGTTGGTATAAACAGCATGCCCATATTTTTGGAATTGTATATTCTTCAAGAATTTTGGCCTAATATAAAATGACCTATTATAGGCCCTAAATATCATTTGAAGATGGATCCTAGATACTGGTGTTATCCCAACACAGTTAAAACAGCAGAGTTCATGCCACTGTACAAAAGAGGTAATAAAGCAGATGCAAAAATGATACACCAATAGCTCTAACATCACACACAAAAATCTTTGAAAAGGTGCTACCTACCTTGTGGAGGTTTTGGGGATAAGTGTCCCTGCAGACCAGTCTCTAACCCGGCTTCCCGTTGGTTGTCTGGTCAACTAGGCAGTTGGATGCAGCTGCTCGCATAACACTTCATGAAATCAAGAGGTATGGCAGGAAGTGCCATACCAGTAGGCTCAGGAATCTGTACATCAGTTGATTGACGGTTGAGAGGCGGGACCAAAGGGCCAGAGCTCAACCCCCGCAAACACAACTAGGTGAGTACAACTAGGTGAGTTCACACACACACACACACACACATCTTGAGGTTATCTTGAGATCTTGATCTTGACATACATACATACATACATACATACATACATACATACATACATACATACATACATACATACATACATACATACATACATACACACACACACTATATACAGTATTAAGTGCACTCACCTAGTTGTACTCACCTAGTTGTGCTTGCGAGGGTTGAGCTCTGGCTCTTTGGTCCCGCCTCTCAACCGTCAATCAACAGGTGTACAGGTTTCTGAGCCTATTGGGCTCTATCATATCTACACTTGAAACTGTGTATGGAGTCTGCCTCCACCACATCGCTTCCTAATGCATTCCATTTGTCAACCACTCTGACACTAAAAAGTTCTTTCTAATATCTCTGTGGCTCATTTGGGCACTCAGTTTCCACCTGTGTCCCCTAGTGCGTGTGCCCCTTGTGTTAAACAGCCTGTCTTTATCAACCCTGTCGATTCCCTTGAGAATCTTGAATGTGGTGATCATGTCCCCCCTAACTCTTCTGTCTTCCAACGAAGTGAGGTTTAATTCCCGTAGTCTCTCCTCGTAGCTCATACCTCTCAGCTCGGGTACTAGTCTGGTGGCAAACCTTTGAACCTTTTCCAGTTTGGTCTTATGCTTGACTAGATATGGACTCCATGCTGGAGACGCATACTCCAGGATTGGTCTGACATATGTGGTATATAATGTTCTGAAAGATTCCTTACACAAGTTTCTAAAGGCCGTTCTTATGTTAGCCAACCTGGCATATGCTGCTGATGTTAGTGTATGCTGGTTCTGAACCAAGATCACAGCGAGACCTTGGAAACCTCAGAAAACACAACTTTGTCAGGTCACAGGGCATGAGGGATGGAGTCAGGAAAGAAGAAACTGAAACAAAATTCAGTTTTGTTTTAGCGATTCATGCCCGTGCCACCTCTTTAGTGGCTTAATCTTCATCAATCATCTTGCTCCCATCACAATCGACTTGATAATGGTTTGGGACGGTCCAAAACATCATCGTTTCTTCATCTTCTGGTTTGTGGTTTAGTCATCAAACTGAAACAAGTTAGCAAGGAACATGGAAGATGGTTTGCAACAGGCTTGTAAACATACCCCGAGTGCTGGACCAAGTACCAATGAAAGCCAAAGCACTTATCTGTAATAAGAGTATCCAATTTTAATAGAGTGACCACTAGGGGCAATGGTGCCAAATAAACCAGTGAGGAGTACTTACCTATCAGTGACTATGGGGAAGTGATAACGGAAGCCGGTCGGCTGAGCGGACAGCACGCTAGACTTGTGATTCTGTGGTCCTGGGTTCGATCCCAGGCGCCGGTGAGAAACAATGGGCAGAGTTTCTTTCACCCTATGCCCCTGTTACCTAGCAGTAAAATAGGTACTTGGGTGTTAGTCAGCTGTCACGGGCTGCTTCCTGGGGGAAGAGGCCTGGTCGAGGACCGGGCTGCGGGGACACTAAAAAGCCCCGAAATCATCTCAAGATAACTTCAAGAAGTGTGGTTTAGCCCTTTTTGTCCTGCCTAGTAGACCTGTATCTGTTGCATTATAATTTAGTTCAGTGAAGGATTAAATTTGGATATGTCAATACTGTACAAAGAATGGAAATATGACATCCAACCAACACATCTGAAAATAACGGTAATGATGATGCCTGCTTGGTGGGATTCTGGGAGTTTTCTACTCCCCAAGCCCGGCCTGAGGCCAGGCTGGACTTGTGAGAGCCTGGTCCGCCAGGCTGTCCATGCTTCTATCTGTCTGGGATCATCATCAAGTGGTGAGACTTGGCAGTGGTCCGGGATGGATCGAAATGTTGTCACTTCCTTAATTTTCCTAGGTGTGGGTTGGATATCTAATTGTCAGCCATGTTGTGACTTATTCTCTGCTGAAATAAGTTTTCCCTTATAATATAAGGGAAATAATATCGTTTAATATAAGGGAAATGTTTCCATATCTGGATATTACTGGAGAAGCTATATATCTATTGTAGATATTTATTTTAAAGGATTTATATATACCTAGCAAAATTAGTATAATATTGTTAGTATTATACTCTACTAATATATTAGTTTAGTATAATACGCTTAAAAAATATAGTGCTTATTTGTCTTAATGTGCCATAACTTTCAGATTTCTCTAATGCTTTAATGTTGTATTGCCATGTATTGGGTTATATCAGAGTGAGCTCTGCGAGAGCCTTGTCTTGAGCAAGGGTTCTTTGGCAGATGTGTGAGGGGCTCTTTGTCTGGTGTGTGAGGGGCTCTTTGTCTGGTGTGTAAGGGCTCTTTGCCAGGTGTGTGTGAGGGCTCTTTGGGAGATGTGTAAGGGCTGACTCTATTGCCTATTTGTCTTGTCCTTGCCATTACTGTGGTGAAAGTGATCATACACTGAATGACAGACTTAAGGAACACAAAAGAAGTGTTAAGTCTGCAGACACAAACAATGCTCTCTTCTGTCATGTTAGGGATTCTAATCATCCTATTGATTGGTCGTCTTCTAAAATAATCTTTCCTGCTGCAACTCTTCACAGATGCTGTCTTGTCGAATTGGCTCCGATACATTGTTGCTGTTCAGTCTTCCCATTCTTAAATGCTATACTTAAATGCTATAACCTTCTTAACAAATGTGATCTGACTTAAGCTTTGCCCCTATCTCTTATTCTTACTGTTTCTTATTCTTATCTTTCCTCGTATTCTTACCTTCCTCTTATTCTAACCCTCATCCTATTCTGTGAATGAGATGAATGCCTCTCATCCTGTTCTAAAAATATGATGAAGGGTATTCTTACCTTCCTCTTATTATTACCTATTTCTTTTACCAGCTCTTCACTTCATATCTCACTTTGTTACCTTATTTATTTAACCTGTCCCTTCCTCTCTTCTATTACCAGACTTGATAATGGTCCAGGACAGACCGAAACGTCATCGTTTCTTTATTTTCTGATGTTTGGTTTGGTCATCACGTGTAAGGGCTGTTTGGGACATGTGTGAAGACTGTTTTAGAGATGTACAAAGGCTGTTTGAGGCCAGTCTTGAGGCCCTAGTATGAGCAGTGTAAATTATGTGTGTTTAACCAAATAAAAATAAATTTAACTAATTTAACTATATTAAATATAAATAAACAACACAGTTTGTTAAGCTGTGTGTATATACACACAGTTTAACAAACTATATACAAACTACATAACTCAATTTTTTTTTTAATTATTCCAGGTGAACATGAATATGACTTTTGGAACTCCAAGTACAAATAACCCACGGCCCTATAAGTGCCACGACTGCAAAATTGCTTTCCGAATTCATGGTCATCTAGCAAAACATCTTCGTTCAAAGATGCATATAATGAAGTTGGAGTGCCTTGGAAAACTTCCCTTCGGAACTTATGCTGAAATTGAACGGTCCGGCGCTAATCTGAATGAGATCGATACAACAGATTGCGATAATTCCTTGGAGAGCTTACAGGTCAGTAGAGTGAAGACTTTGTAGAATCACTATCAGATGGCCTATGACTTTGCCATCTAAGGAGAATTTATGAAGGAAAAATATTCAGAAATTACAATCTTACTTTTTAAATTGAAAAAGTCAAATCCAGATGTCTTAGTTGAGTGTAATGTACCTCATTTTTATAATTTATTTAGGCTGTAGCTCCCTTCGTTCTCAGTAATTTCTTGTATGTGGTTGAGTTAGTGCGCAGTGTTATTCAGCACTCGCTTCTGTGGCTGGGGATGCGCTTTGGGTTGATCCTGTTTCCCTCGTTCCCTGTTCCAGGGCTCTGGTCCCCCAGGTTGTCCGCAGGGTTATTAAGTCTAGCCAGCCTGCTGTCTATCCTATTGTCCATGACATTAGGAAGTTTGCTGCATTGGCTACCGTGTTTGGCAACATGTCTTGGGGTGATATTCGGGTGCGGGAATTTTAGAGGTCGAACAGGGTCCTGGCAGCCCGATATTTGGTTAACGCTCCTGGGCCAGGGCATTCTTCTGTTGCTTTGGGTCACAGATTGCAGCCTGTTGTCTCGACTTCGCATTGAGGAGTGTGTGGCAGCCGCCTCCTGGGTAAGTCTCTCTTTTCCTTATTTTTGGTTATGTAGCTCCAGGGAGCCAAAGGGGCTTCCCACAGAACAGAAATTGAATTGCCATTTTCTGGGTGACCCCCCCGGAGACTCCATGGCAGTCCTCCCTCCCACCCTCCAGTCGGAGGTTTTCGCATGGTTGATAGCCTCCGAACTGGAGTGGCTGGGTCATCGGTGCAAGAGGTCTGGGGCTCCCCCCTCCAGGGAAGAAGGCTGCATGGACGAGTGATGCCGCAATGGAGTGTGACGTTTACTTGTTTCCTTGGGATTGGAGGGAGTTCTGCCTCTCTGGTTTTCGGGTTGCAATTTTCTTACCATGTGGGATCTGTTTTGTTATGCCTATCTTTCTGGGTGCCTAACCCTGGTTGATGGCAGATAAAGAAAACCCCCAACCACGGGGGTTTTCTAGGGCCATTGTTCCCTGCATCTCTCTGAGGGGACCCAGGTTCTGGCGGCTCATGGTCCCTGGTAGGCTCAACTCCATAGACTAATGCCCCTGTCTAATGATTTGCATATTAACCTGATAGCTCCTGGAAGCCTCTGGGGCTCACCCAGAAAATGGCATTTCATTACATTCAACGCTGATTTTTTGAGTACAGTATAGTGATAGAATAGTGATAGGGTATAGTTATATAAATTTATCATTACACACTTGCATAATAATATTACTAAAAAAAATAAAAGATAAAAAACCAATCAGAGATACTGAAAATAATTAAATAAGAATATCTTTTTGGCAATTCCCACTACACGGCTTGGCTGAAGTGGTCTGGCCCCGGTGTGTATTGTCAACACCTATATCTTGCCAAACTTCCTTGCCCTATCATGGCCAAAGTATTTGTCACAATTGTTTTCTGTAGGGAGCCCCTACGGCTACCTGGGGCTTATCGGGCTAAGGTATATTATATTAGACCGGGAAATTAGCTATGGAGTTAAGACCTACCGGGTACCAGTGCCAGAACCTGGCCCCTTCAGAGAGGTTTCAGGGAGCAATGGCCCTGGAAAACCCCCTTGTGGTTGGGGGTTTTTCTGTATCTGCCATCGACCGGGGTTAGGCACCCAGAAAGGTAGGCATAACAAAACAAACCCCCACATGGTAAGAAACTAAAACAAAAAACTGAACAGAGAGGTAGAAACTCCCTACAATCCCAAGGAAACAAGCAAACAAGCAAACATTACAATTTACTGCCACACCGATCGTCCGCGCAGCCCTCCCCACCCCGAGAAGGGGAGGGGGAGGGCTCACCGGACCCCCGGACCCCCGGACCTCACCCCCGGACCTCACCGCGCCGGCTGCCTAGCTCCAGTTCGTAAGCTAATGTCAACCGGGACAGACGCTTCTCTGGCCTTAGTTTCCTAGGCGGTGTTTGCCTTTCATGGCGTTCACTGCCATGTGTTGTGTTGTGCGGTGGCCAGGTGTTCCTCATCAGTACCGGGGCTGCATGTGCTTAGGGGCTTCCTTCCCTAAGCGCCCTGTGAGTACTGCCCCTGCGTGACAGGGTTATCTTCCCTGGGGTGTTCAGGAACCATTCCCGTAGAGGTTCTTGCTGCTCGGCATTTGCCTCGCCCTTGGGGCCAGCTGGGGCTTGGGGCCCTTGTTTGGCCCTGGGTAGGGACTGGTATTGTGCTGGGTAGGGCATCAAGGTGTTGCACGGCCTGCCACCTACACAGCGAGTGGTTCCTGTTGCCTCTGGGGACGGTGTGCTTTTGCGGGGTTTTTCTTTTGTTTTTCTTTTAATTTGCCTGGTGGGGGGGGGGGGGTCTGCCTAGTGTAGCTATAGTTCCACTGGTAGTGTTTGGTGGCCCTTTGCTAAGCCCCCGTGATTGTACACGTCGCAGAGGTTTTCAGTGTTGCATCCCCTTGTTAGCTTGGGTGTTTAACTGGTTAGCAACACCTTGCCCGGGCTTCTTGTAGCAGTCAGCCTACGGGGCCTGGAAAACCCTGTCGGGGCTTGATAGACCATTGAATGAGTCTTCTGGGTTCCATCCCGTCTTGTGTGGGTTCATTGGTTGCTGTGCCCTTGTCTCAGGGTGACGGTCGCCACTTTTACCTCCGTCATGCTGCCTGTTGGGTCACTGACACCTTGACCCAGAGTCTTGCGAGTTGTGTTCTCTGCTTGTTCTCCAGTACTCTCCTGTTGTTATTACTGTTCAGAGTACTGGCAGCATCTGCGTTGCAAGCTAGGTTTAGCTTTGCAAGAATGTAAAAAACATCAATGTCATGTCCTCCCACAAACCCAATGTACCTTATATACAAATCATCATTGGACGTCACATCCGCCCCGTTTTGTACGCTTCTCGTATTGTTTCACCTCCGGTCCCATCCTGGGCCATCCTGGTCCTTGATTAGGGTGCCCTTTTATCCTTTCTCTCCTCAGTTTGTGGTAGCCCTTTCGGTTGAAGATTGATTTTCAAAGGCCATACTTTGTTGGCATTGGCCTCTGTGGGTCGGGTTGGGGAGCTTCCGGCTCTCCTCCGGCGCAGAGGTTTCTGTTCTTTTGGTACTGGTGGTAGGTTCATATGCTTGCAGCCTTGCTCCATCCTTCTGGCGACGGTCGAGACAGCTGCTTTCCGGAGGGGACCTTGGGTTATTGATGCTTGGTTGGTTTGGCTGGGGGTGCAACGTGTTGTCAGGTTGCGGTTCTTTGCCGTTACCTGTGTGCCATGGCTGGGGATGCTCTTTGGGTTGATCCAGTTCCCCTCGTTCCCTGTTTCAGGGCTCAGGTCTCCCAGGTTGTCCGCAGTTTTCCTTTAGTCTACCAGCCTGCGGTCTATCATTGCGCCCATGCCGTTCAGATGTTTGCACTTTTCGCTGCCATGTTTGGTGACATCTTGGACTCAATTCGGGCGCAACGATATGGGGGTCGTACAGGTTCCTGGCCGCCCATTCATTTGTAAGCGTGTCTGCTTCTGTGCGTTCTTGTGTTGCTTTGGGTTGCAGGTTGCTGCCTGTTGTCTCGACTTTGAGTTGCGAAGTTTGTGGTGGCCGCCTCCCGGATCAGCCCTTTCTTTTCCTTCTCTTTGGGTATGAAGCTCCAGGGAGCCATAGGGGCTCCCCACAGAAAACCAGCGTTGAATGTAATGAAACGCCATTTTCTGGGTGAGCCCCGGAGGCTCCCTGGCAACCCTCCCTCCCACTGGTCGGCAGTTTTTTCGCGTTGGTTGAAGCTTAGTTTCCGAACTGGTGCTAGGCAGTCGGCATGGTGAGGTCCGGGGACCCCCCTCCCCCTCTCGGGGCGGGGAGGACTGCGCGGACGATCGGTGCGGCAGTAAATTGTGATGTTTGCTTGTTTCCTTGGGATTGTAGGGAGTTTCTACCTCTCTGTTCAGTTTTTTGTTTTAGTTTCTTACCATGTGGGGTTTGTTTTGTTATGCCTACCTTTCTGGGTGTCAACCCTGGTTGATGGCAGATAAGGAAAACCCCAACCACAAGGGGTTTTTCCAGGGCCATTGCTCCCTGAAACCTCTCTGAAGGGGCCAGGTTCTGGCGCTGGTCCCTGGTAGGTCTTAACTCCATAGCTAATGTCCCTGTCTAATACATGTATAACATACATTAGCCCGATAAACTCCAGGGAGCCTCCGGGGCTCACCCAGAAAACGGCGTTTCATTACATTCAACGCTGGTTTTTTCTTCCGTGATCAGGGAACACATTTTAACAATATTAGAAGGAAAAAACAAAGAAAAATTCTTGCGTACCTGGGGTTTGTCAGGTATTAATGGCTGCAGAGCCCAAGGGTTAGGAAAGATGTAGAGGCTTTGTAAGTGTATAAATGCTCGATAACTTGTGGCCCTGGTGCTGGCCTAGCAAGAGACCTAGCAGCCATCAAGAAAGGAAGGTTCATATACTTAGTACCCCTATTTATTCAAATGTGAAGTAACAGGATGTGTTTAGGATTATTCATTCCTTGATGTGATACTTTTTGTTGTATATTATTACTATTTTTTAGGCCATAAGATGGCATTAATTTTGAGAATGTTGTGATAGGCAGCATTTTTAATATTATCTATGCTTTAATAAGCCATATTATTTATTTAGAATAATATCTATTTAGTGATTTTAGTAAATTGAGTTTATCAAATCTGATGAATACAGATGCTGCAGTCATTACAACAGATAATGATAGGGATATATATAGATTAGTTGAAAGATTTGTTGATGTATGCAAGAGAAAATGCTACAATCAAATGTGGACAGGAGTAAAGTAATAGTGATAGAGAATGCAATAGCAGTGTGTGAAATAATGGAATATGGAGAAGTCCTGGAAGTGGCTGATGAGTTTAAATACCTTTACTGATGCAAGGAGAGATTGAGATTAAGAGTTTGTCAGGAAGGGAAAGTGCTAGTATAATGAAAACCTTGGTTAGGGAGAATAGGATAGGAGGAGCGGAAGCTAAATAGGAAACGAGGCAGCTAACAGGCTGCACAAAGGAGTGGTAATTCATCGAAACTAAAAGCACTACAATATCGATGTTTCTTCTTATTAATGAGGATTGGTTTCTATAGATTAGGTGATATTACCCAGGTTTATTTGTTTCTGGTTAGGTAAACCCAGTTTTATACTTTAATCTTGTCAAATTATGAGAACGGACTGATTGAACAATCTGAGAATCATATGTGGCATTAGGAGGATGTTGGTAGGAGTGAAAATGATTTAAAATAATAAGATGTGGCATGCAGAAGTTAGAACAGTAACTCTAAAGTATATGACTGAGGTGGTTACTGATATGCTCTGGTCATACTGAGTAAATGGAATGACAATATCGAGGTTGAGTGTATTTGCTTGAATGTGCAAGCAGGAGGAAGAGAGGAAGGCCAGAAGGTAAATGCTTAGTTAGGGCACGAGGAAGTGGGCATTGATTATGAACAGCACATAAGAAATGGTAGGGATTAAGGCTACATGGAATCATTTTATTAAAGGAATACTTGACAATTTTTACGTTAAACTTATGAGAAGAACTTCACACCTGGTTGTTTGAAGTGGTGGGCTGCTGCTGTAGGTTGATGTATTGATGGAGTGTGATGGTGCTGTTTCTGCATGATGAGTTAGTATGTAGTGTAGAAAGAAGTAACGAATGGATGGAGTATCTTTTCATATCAATATTTGTCTAATTCTGTTTGCTCTTGTATTTCTTTTGGGCTGATTCTTCACAGCCCTATAAAGGCAGGAAACATGGTTGTGATTGTTGTGATGATATTAAAGATACTGTACATATTTTCACGTATGGTCCTAGCAAATTAACACACTGGTATTTACTTACACCTGTTTATCTTTGTGTACTTTATTTTATAAATTATAATTTGATTTTTGTACTGCAGGCCATGGCATCACGCTTGTATAAAAAGGATCCAAGCAAATTTGCAGCCTGGCAAAATCAGCAGGAAAGGCATCATCATCGTGAACGTACGGTTAGCAACTCGTCAACAAATTCTGATGACTATCCATTACAAGATGAGCAAGATGACGCCCTTGCTGGTTGTGGTAACGATGATGATACAGGTAAACTTTAGTCTGCATTTAAATTGTATTAATGCAATGCACAGAGGGTGGATTTTTTTTTTAATTAGTGAGGTGTAATTGGTCATGAAATGTGGACTATAAGAGTGGCAAGGTACCAGCATTTGTCTTGTATGATTTTTTCTCTACTTCTGTGTCCCCTGTTTACAGTTCATTTTAGAAATGTCTTACAACATATTTTTGTGTGCTGTACAACAACAGATCCCCTTAGGAATGCCGTACTCACTCTTACATGCTGTACAATAACATGTTCACTTGGGAATGCCTTACACATTCTTGCATTGTGTACACAAACTGTAATTGTATTGCACTATATTGTAATATGGGAATGTGAATCTAGGAATTAATAATAGAGTAAGTTAATATCATTGCAAGCCGGAAATTGAGCAGAAAATTCCTTATGGTAATACAGACAGATAATAAGTCAATGTTATAAGTCAAGGAACTGGCAACTGGTCACATCCATCCAGCGACCTGGGACATACAACGGTCAGCTGTACATCCCACTGGGACCATGTTCTGTACGATATGTACCTGCGCATAAAGTTTGACCATAGAAATAGAAATGGCTGTACAGGTACATGGAAGATACTGGAGGGCCGGGTCCTAAATCTGCACAGTAAAATAATAACATACTGTAGCGAAAGGCACGGAAGGAAATACAGAATAGAACTAGTGAGTAGTAGATGCCATAGGCACAATCAGAGAACACTGTCTGAACATCATGGGTCCATGGCTGTTCAACACCCTCCCAGCAAGCATTAGAAATATTGTGGGAATGAAGGTGGATGTATCCAAGAGGCACTTGGACAGGTTCTTGCAAGAAGTGCCAGACCAACCAGGCTGTAGTGGATATGTGGGCCTGTAGCTGCTCCAAGCAACAGCCTGTTGGACCAAGTTATCACAAGTCAAGCCTGACTCGGGGCCAGGGTTCAAAGGGTTAAATTCCAACACTTCGTAAGTCCACTTTTATTCACGTTTTACTCAATGTATCACAACTAGCTATGCATAGCTTGATGGCTTGCCTTATGCTTTTCTTTCACATTGTGCCTTGATTGCTTTCTCTGAGTCTTTTTCTCTTAATTTGTATTTATTGTCATGCTGCCTGAGAACTCTTGCATATGTTTTCTGATAGAGACTGAATATTCCAATTTTCTTGCAGTCATTTAAAGATGTTCCAGTTTTGTTGAAGACATTTAAAGATGTTCCAACTTTCTTATAGTTATTTAAATATATATGTTCCATTTTTCTTGTAGACATTTAAATGTTTTGAGTTTTTCCAAAAGATTTTATTCTGAGTGGTAAAAGAAGGACAGGGAAAGAACGCAGTGTTGTAGATAATGGGTGAAGATTTGACATTCGTGCACTTGGTAAAAACTCGTGCACTAAGTGCACTTGCACTTAGAAATAAGTACTGTACAAAGTTTGAGACTTTTATCTGTGAGAGTTTGCCGTTAAAGTTCTGCTTGACTGCCTTGTGACCAAGAGATATCTCTGATGTAGGCCACTGAGGAGGATACGTGTCTTAATCCCTCAGCATTTTGTTTACATTTTTACAGAAGATAAAGACTTTTATGTAATTTTTAATAAAGAATTTAGAAAAGCATAATATTGTAATATGAAATATTTTGTAGGTATACAATTAAGGCTTGAATATAAGTTGAAATTTTGTTGCACATTTTGCAGAGAGAACCCAATTGTTGTCTGAAGGGGTAATACTGTTTTCTGATTTTAGTTAAACATTTAGTTTACAAACACTTTAGCTCATAGAGCATAGAAAGTGTGATTAATCATTTAATGAGCAAAAAATAGCACAATTTGTATTTTTTCTGTAATGTTGCTATTTACACAACTCTTGTGACAGAGGGTGATGAAGACGAAGACATACCGGTGCCTGGGGAAACAGGAGGCCTGGGCTTCACGGGAGCTATGCTTGGGGCTGGTCACGGGGAGCTGCACGCGTCACACACTCGTGCAATATCCTCACCTATTGAGATTGGCTCTGTGAGTATCCTGGGTAAATTCATGGGAAATTATGCAGTGTGATTTACTCTTAATGTACATCAGGATTATTATCCTTCACTTTGCTGTTTGTTGTGAAACATAATTGAGAAGAATATTGAAGCTGGGTTCGGGTTTGATCCCATTGTACAGCTTCAATATTTTCTCAAAATTGATGCAGTGGAATACTTTCACGTTCTATTTCTTTGTAAGAATTTGTTGCCTAACCCATGAGCTGCAACTCAGTTTATAGGAGACACTCCTCTGGTTCACATGGAAGAAGAAAAAAATTCCTACTGATATTGTAAAAATGCATCCCCCAATCATGGGAAAATAATGAAGAAAAAGTGGCTTACTTTGAGTGTGGTGAAGTGAAAAAAATCTTGCAATGCCATCAGAATTCATGAGAATTCATGGAGAAATCGCCCCAGTCTTACCTTTTGCATATTTGCCTATCCTCTGTAACTCAGACATCTTCCTTTGTTGACATGCCTTCTCCTAAACCTACTATTTTCACAATGATTTTTCCATTTTCTGCTGCCACCCTAGATGCTGTCTCTCTTTTTCCAGACATCCAAAAATTATTTTGGACTTCTATCCAGAGTGGTTTGTACTAATTTACTGCTGGTAATCAGTTCTTTCCTAATTGTCTCCTGAATGCTCATTTCTGAATTTAATTTCCTTACATACTTAGTTTTTTTTTTTTTTATCTTTCACAACTTGCGTATATGTTTCTTTCATTTCCTCTTTATACTTTTCTCATGCCTCTAGTAACTAATTCCATTTGAGTTGTCTATGAATTTTACCTTAGAAATTCCTCGCCTAACTCTATGTTTTGGGCGGCCTGTATAGTTTCTCTTATTTCCTGTCCAAACCTATCTTCTTGTTTATTTCTTCAAATTTGTCATCCTTCATTTTCTATGTCTCATTTTCTTTTTACTAATTTCTTTATTTGTCCTTCCTGCATCCTTACCTTATCTGTCAAGCTGGCAACTTGCAGATCCTTCTGCAAAATGCTTGCTTGTCAAAAATTCATTATACTTTTTAAGATCTTAAATTTTTGTCTTATGAAACAAAATTTCCTTCATGAAGTTTTAACAGATCCTTGACTTTCACTAACCTGCTCATAAGAAACTTCCATGTCTTGTTTCTTCCACAGTGAACCTCTTGAAATGTGTCTCTTGTTGACAGTTCAGTACCGATGGCATTGGCCATTTTGGTTTGTTTTGATTCTCATCTGCTTCTGTGTGATTGATCTTGCTATAAATTTTCCCAACTTTGTATGTCATTTTTCAGATAATCATCATTCCACCTTCTGTAATTGAATTCAGTATGTTTATGACATCTGGGATACCACTTGTGAACCTCTTTTCCCACACTACCACCTAGATAATGATGAGTTAATCCATCAGCTGCCTGTGACGTCGTCATCGTTGTGTGAATGTGAGAGAGAGAAGAAGGGGGAGTGTTGCTTACCTATAGTGACTATAGGTGAGTGATATCTAGCTCATTATGGCCAGGCTCCAAGCCTTTTATATTCGGCATGCTAATTTCATCTCTTGATGTTGAAGATAAAAAAAATTTCAAGTTGTGAATGGAAGTGGCTTCGACAACTTCCTCTGCTCATTTCATTCTTCTTGTCGATCACCTGTACAAGGTATAAGAGTAAATGTGTGTGTGTGTAATTGCCTATGTAGTTACAGGATGAAAGCTATGCTTGTCGTGTCCCGTCTTCCCAGTACTCTTGTCATATACAGTAATGCTATTGAAACTATCGACAGTTTTGGCCTCCACCACTTTCTCACTTAACTTGTTCCTACCGTCTACCACTGTTTGCAAAAGGAAACTTTCTAATATTTTTTTGGCACTTTTTTATCCTTAGCTTGAATCTGTGTCCTCTTGTTCCTGAAATTGCTGGTTTCAGGAATTCCTCTGTCAATTTGGTTGATTCCTGTTATTATTTTGTAAGTGGTGATCATATCACCACTTTTTCTTCTAAAGTTTCCAAAACAACTTCTTGTGTGGGACTCTGTCAAAAGCCTTTTTTAAATCCAGATAGACACAGTCAACCCAACCAACTCCTTCCTGTAATATTTCTGTGGCTCTATCATAAAAACTAAGTAGATTTGTTACACATGATCTTCCTGTTCGAAAACCATACTATTTGTCTGTTATTATGTCATTACTCTCCAGGTGTTCAACCCATTTGGCTTTAACTATTGTTTCTAGTGTTTAGAGGTTAATTTAGAGGTTCCTTTCAACTACCATTTTTATAGATTGGAACTATGTTTGCCTTTTCCATATATCTGTTAAGATTCCTGTGCACAAGGATATCTGAAATATTAATTGGAGTGGAATACTCAGCTCAGTTGCACATTCTCGCAGCACCCAAGGTGAAACTCCATCAGGTCTAACTGCTTTATTTCTTCCTAGCCCCTTGGGTAATTTTTCCACTTTGTCTTGAGTATTCTATGGTGTATTCTATATTCTATGTGTATTCTATGGTGTGCTTTGAAATTGGCATTGGGTCCAGCTCTCTTAAATCCTCATTTTGTACAAACACTTTGGAACTATTTGCAAAAGAAATTTTCTAATATTTTTCAGTACCTTTGTTTCCTTACCTTGAATCTTGTTTGTGAAGTTGCTGGTTTCAGGAATTCCTCTTTGTCAATTTGATCGATTACTGATAGTATTTTGTAAGTGGTGATCATATCACTCTTTTTTTTCAATCTTCTAGTTTTGGCATGTTTAACACCTCTAGTCTCTCCTCGTAACTCTTCTTTTTCAGTTGGAGAAGCCATTTTGTAGCATGCTGCTGCACCTTTTACAGTTTATTTATGTGCTTCTTGAGATTTGGGCACCATACAACTGCTGCATATTCTAATTTTGGTCTCATAAAAGTCCTGAATACTTTCTTTAGTATTTCACCACCCATATAATTAAATATAATTAAATATAAGTGTGTGTGTGTGTGTGTGTACTCACTCACCTATTTGTGCCTGCAGGATCAAGCACCGACTCTTGGATCCCATCTTTCTAGCCCTCGGTTGTTTAAAGCAATAATTCCTGTCTTTGTTGACCAAACCACACACTAAAAAGTGAAGGGATGGCGACGTTTCGGTCCGTCCTGGACCATTCTCAAGTCAATGACTCCTCGTCTGCATTCCTGTCTTTCTTATCTATCATACCTAGTTTTAAAACTATGAATTGTGTTTGCTTCCACAATGTGCTCCTTTAGTTCATTACATTTCCCCACTACTCTCATGCTAAAAATAAAACTTTCTAACATCTCTATGACTCGTCTGAGTTTTCAGCTTCACCCATGTCCTCTTGTTCTTTTGGTATTTCGTTCCTGCTTTAGCTCTTTGGTCCTGCCTCTCAGCTGTCAATCAACTGGTGTACAGATTCCTGAGCCTACTGGGTTCTATCATATCTACATTTGAAACTGTGTATGGAGTCAGCCTCCACCATATCACTTTGGAACTTTTCATTTAATGTTTCACACATTTCCTTTTCATTTTCCGTGAATCTGTTTCCCATTTTCAACCTCTGGATATTATCCTTTACCTGCAATTTGTTGTTTATGAATTTGTAGAATAGGCCCGGTTCTGTTTTACATTTATCCGATATCCCTTTTTCAAAATTTCTTTCTGCCTCTCTCCTTACTGCCGTATAGTTGTTTCTCGCATCTTTGTATCGCTGGTATGTTTGGGGGGTTTGGCCTCTTCCTATACTGATTCCATTTTTGTGTCTTTTGGTCTCTGGCCCTCTCACAATTTCTGTTGAACCAATCCTGTTTTCTGGCCCTGCCTCTCTGTTTTGGTATGAATGTTTGTGTGCCTTCCTCGTATATTTTTAAAAATTTGGCATACATTTCATTTACTTCCCTGCCTAGCAACAATTCTGTCCAATTACACTCATTAAAATTTTTTTGAAGTTCCCCATAGTGACCTCTCCTTAAATCGACTTTATCAACTGTTTCAATGTCCCCCATTTTCTTCTAGATGATATCTTAAAGCATAATCAATGTCTAACAGGACATGATCACTCTTTCCCAAGGGAGGAAGGTACTGGATGTCAAATATCTCTTCTTCTTTCCTGGTGAATACTAGATCCAGTACTGACGGTACATCTCCTTCCCTCATTCTTGTGGCCTGCTTTATGTGTTGATACAAGAATGTCTCCAGAATGAGGTTCACAAATCTGCATGTCCAAAAGTCCTCCGTTCTTGCTTCATAGGCCTCCCAGTTTATTGCTTTAAAGTTGAAGTCCCCCAGTATTAACAGTCGTGATTTATCTTTATCTGCTTGTACAATAATATCTCTCATAACCATTATGAGGCCCTCTCGTTTGTCATCCAGTTCTTCCTTTGTCCATGTGTTGCTTGCTGGTGGGCTGTAGGCATTTACAATTATCAGCTTATCCTGATTCCAGATCTGCAATGCCATTATGTCAATATCTCGAGGGTTTTCAAATATTAACTCTCTTACCTTCAGGTGTTTTTTCACCAGTACGGCCACTCCTCCTCCATTCCTAGTTTTCCTGTCACGTCTCCAAACTGAATAGCCTCTTGGGAATATGACTTCATTTATTATATTTCCTTCAAGTTTCGTCTCTGTTAATGCGACAATATCTGGGACCCTAAGCTGGATTATATCTTGAAACTCCAAAGTTTTTGACCTCACTCCATCTATGTTGGTATATACAATTTTCAGGAACATGTTCCGTTTTACTTTGCTCTTTACTCCCCCTTCCACTACTGATCTTGTTGCTTTGTTTTTATGTACCATTTCACAAGCTTTCCAGTCCCTGTCACTTTGTAGAAAAATGAATTTCTGTCTTCTTCATTTCTCTCTCCATTTAGACATTTTGCCTCAATTAGGTTCATTTTCAGCTTTTCTCTGTCTTCCTTGGAGAGGTCTTGTCTTATTGACCAAAGTTTGCCAACCTCATCACTCTGCAATTTCCTGGCATTTCTTAGCACTTCCATCATGTTTTTCACT